CCACAACCTCTCTAAATATCTCTCTTTTCTTTCTCTCTCTTCCTCTTCTCTCCTCTTATTTCTCTCCTCGTCAAGCTAATGGAATGGAGGGATGGTGAAATGGGTTTTGGATCTTTCATATATATATTATTAGAGCTCAACACCACAACACTCTGACTCAAAGCTCAACAACACCAAGATAGAATATTCTAGGTCCTAGATTCCTCCAACCCGAGAGTTCAGCGCCCTAGTGGTGACACTCAATGTCACGACATTCCCACTGCATAATACATAGAGGATAGCACCATGACACTACCACTATTAGCGCCACAGCGCTTCTCATAGCACTTTTCTTGCTAGTTTCCTCCTCCTTTACTTCATTTCTATATTCATTTAGATTAAATTTGACTCATAATAACTAAAATTCTAAGAAAGGGATCATGAGCAGTTAAATTAAGCCTAATCAACCAAATCCCAATACCATGACTATTACACATAACATATTATTTTACTCTTTATTTAAACACTTCCTTGCCTGGGGTTTGGATAGACCGCTCGATCTATGATGGTATAGTGTTATCTGAAAAGAGGCCTACTCCTTAGGATAAAATATATTTTCTAGCTAAAATTTTTTAAAATTTTATATTTTGTAGATTTTGTATATAATCAACAAGCATTATATTAAAAATCAACTAAAAATAACATGTTCATTATATTTAGAATTAGCTGCATAAATACAATTTAAAAGTGCATGACCATTTATGATCTCTAGATATGAGTCTCAAATTATTAATTAAATATCAACCTTCTTAAATCTTATGTTTCCAAAAGGCTAGATATCATGTTTTAAAGTGACCGATTGGGTTTAGCTAGAAATCCTCTATAGGAAGGATAGTAAGTCCAGAGAGTCAAGCTTTCTTAAGTTCTTTATAGGGTGAAAAAATAAGTACAAGTACATTTCCCTAAACTAGATTCAAGCTACTATTATAATACCCACTTTTATAATAAATAGGACACCTGATGACATAAATTGGACCTTATAAGAATTTTAATCATGCTGATGATTCTAATATGATACATGACATTGATAGTTATATGTTAATTATGTCCCAAAAATGATATGAAACGTAGTATTAATAAACATAAACATGATATACTGATACATTTGAATGTGATAAAATGATGCATACCATTAATACACATGATATTGATATACTTGAATATGATGGTATGTATATATATATATATATATATATATATATATAACGACTCATTAGCATGATGATGTAAGTGTGATACATGTACTGACACATTAGTTAATATAGTGATACACATTAAATACATGCATTTACATGCTAACATATATTATTACAAAAGATGATCATTATAATATACATGAGCATATCATTCCAACATGATGTTTTGACCATATTTTCATACATATGATAATAGTATATTGATAAACACATGATGATATTGACTCAACAAGGGATTATAAGATATGATTAAATTGATAATAGCAAGTATATTGATCTACCTTTATTGTATTGAATATAATTATAGGTTTCATGTGAGCTATTGAGCTATACACTTGGTTTTTCTATTCACATGTTTCAGGGTTGAATGAGGCACAAACATGTATAGAGAGAGAATACTTATTATAAAGTTACTTCTTTTATATGATTGATAGAGTATTTTGTAATCATGATAGAATTGTATTTTCATGTTTTGAAGATGAATTATGATTATTACACAAATATTTTGAGATGAATGCATCGGAATGTTATTATATATTCTAGATGATGCTTTATTTTATGTATTAATGAATTTTATACTATGTATATAAATTAAATGATAAAAGAAATTATCTTCAAAAAAAGATTCTAGGAAATTAATTGTAATACCCACTATTTCAAACCTCAGGTAATTAATGTAATTTAAAATATGTGTTTGTTTAATCTTGAATTATTCAATGATTATGAATCTTATAACACTTAATTAACCCTAAAATAAGTGAAGAGTTGGAATGGAGTGAAGAAAATGCAAAATGCAAAATGCAAAAAGTTCTAGAGGCATCGCAGAGCTAGGATAAGTAATGTTGTGACATCAAGCTCTCTATTTGGAGAAAAATTGAGGGAGGCATTGTAGTACTCAGAATGACATCACTATAATGCCAAGCTCGCTATTTGGATATATAATTCATGAAGAATGTAGAATATTTGATTCAACGCAGTAGTGTTGTAGAGGTGAGAACCACGACATTAGAACAAATTGAGTGATTTTTAAATAATAAATATATTAATCCATTTTCACCCCAGCCATTGCCAGAGAAGAAGTGAAGAGAAGGAGAAGGGAATAATGTGTGTGTGTGTGTGTGTGTGTGTGTGTGTGTGAGAGAGAGAGAGAGAGAGAGAGAGAGAG